AAACTCATACCGGAGAGAGAGTCAATGTATGTGGTGAATGTGGAAAAGCCTTTATGAAAAAGAGTGCTCTCACTGATCATCAGCTTAATCATCCTGGAGAAAAACCTCATGTACATGGGGAATGTGGAAAGGCCTTTATCCAGAAGACTTCCCTTACTGTTCATCAGCGAACACATCCTGGAGAGAAACCTCACGTATGTGGTGAATGTGGAAAAGCCTTTAACAAGAACAAGTTTCTCACTGATCATCAGCGAACTCATACTGGAGAGAAAGTCCATGTAAGTGGTGAATGTGGAAAGGCCTTTATCAGGAAGACTTCTCTAAATGTTCATAAGGGAAATTATACTGGAGAAAAATCACATGACTGTGGTGAGTGTGGTAAAGCATTCACTCAGAACAATGCCTTACAGTTCACCAGAGATGTCACACCGGAGATAAAACCAATGTATGTGGTGAACGTTGAAAATCCGTTTTCTGGAAGTATGAGCGCACTGTTCATATGTGAATTCATACTGGAGAGAAACCGCATGTATGTGGTGAATGTGGAAAAGCCTTTATCAAGAAGAGGAACTTCACTGATGCTCAGCTAACTCATACTGGAGAGAGAGTCAATGTATGTGGTGAATGTGGAAAAGCCTTTATGAAAAAGAGTGCTCTCACTGATCATCAGCTTAATCATACTGGAGAAAAACCTCATGTACATGGGGAATGTGGAAAGGCCTTTATACAGAAGACTTCCCTTAATGTTCATCAGCGGTCTCATCCTGGAGAGAAACCCCATGTATTTGGTGAATGTGGGAAAGCTTTTATCCGGAAGAAGGACCTCGCTGATCATCATTGAACTCATCCTGGAGAGAAACCTCACGTGTGTGGTGAATGTAGAAAAGCCATTGTGAGGAACAAAAACCTCACTGATCATCAGCGAACTCATACTGGAGAGAAAGTCCATATATGTGGTGAATGTGGAAAGGCCTTTATCTGGAAGACTTCTCCTTCTGTTCACAAGGGAAATCATACTGGAGAGAAATCACATGACTGAGGTGAGTGTGGTAAAGCATTCACTCAGATCTATGCCTTAAATTTCATCAGAGGTTTCACACCGGAGATAAAACCAATGTATGTGGTGAACGTTGAAAATCCTTTTTCTGGAAGTATGAGCTCACTGTTCATATGCGAATTCATACTGGAGAAAAACCGCATGTTTGTGGTGAAGGTGAAAAAGTCTTTATGAAGAAGAAGAACCTAACTGATCATCAGCGAACTCATACTGGAGAGAAAGCCTATGTATATGTTGAATATGGGAAAGCCTTTATCTAGAAGAGTGCCCTCACTG